CGGTAATCATGGCGACGAGGCCGAGCAGACAGATGAAGAGGCGGAGAGGCCAAAAGCGGAACAAGAGGTGCGCCAACGTGCCAGCCGCCCGCGCCAGTAGGGGACGCTTTCCTCCCTCCCGTCCGTCGACATTCAAGGCCGGCTGACAGGAGGCACAGAGGCAGTCACCGAGTTTAGTGTTGTTGCACTCCTGTGGAGAGAGAGAGAAAATTAAGTTAGTTGGGACGTGGTTGTGATTAGCTAAAAGTGATGCGCCGAAGAATCGCGAAGATGTGCCAAAGGTAGTTTTAAATTGCCCAGTCATTCTTTGAAGGAACAGGGCACCACATATAGGAATATTAGTTTACAAGCGCATGCTCACATAGATAATGCATGATAGGTGCGGGGAATGGTTTGTATATGACTAGACAGCGAAAAAGAAGCATGTTGAGTCTTAAAACATCCTTTAAACATGCCTCATATCCTTCCACCGAATGCTGACTAACTACGCATAATAATAAAACACTACTTAAGTAGCGTGAACTTCCGCCGTTGTTTTTCCAATACCAACAGGAACTGAACTAGGAGTCAATTAATAATCTTCCGCAGGACAGGTGAGCAAAAGTTTGTACTTATGTTGTAGGTCAGTACACTCCGGAACGCTGAATAGAGTACTTTTGGAATAGCCTTCATGGCCCAGTTTCCGTCCGCGAGGGGGTGGCCTATGCACTTCCGCAAGTCTAAGTGAACTTTGATTCCTCGCTTCCCCCAAGAGACGACCAAGACAGTTCAGTTACCATCTAGCGGAAAGGATGCCCGCCAAGATCTACAAGTGCAGTGACTCTTAACCCTGGGTAACAGTGAATCATCCATCTCAGAAGGTAGACAGTCGGGGAAAATCCTGCTGAGAAGCCACCATTGTTCACCTGTACAAACGGAAGGAAGACTCCCGAGCCTGTGATAAACATCAGGGAAGCTCTACAGTCCTCACCGCTGGAGCGGCCTCAGCATGCATCCAGTTAGACCTCCCAATCTGACACCAGAAGCAATGGCTTCCACCTGAGACACAAAGTAAAGCCCGTACACAGC